TACAGCAGAAAGAAAGAAAGAAAGAAAGAAAGAAAGAAAGAAAGAAAGAAAGAAAGAAAGAAAGAAGGAGAGAGAGAAAGAAGGAGAGAGAGAAAGACTTTGTGCCCTGACTTATATCACCTTGAAGGGAAGTTGTGGGTACTAGGAGGCTAGGCCATCCTTCGCGAGATGGCGGCTTCCTGACACCACAGGCCCCCCCCACTTGGCGAGTTCTGGATGAGAGGTGTGGAGAGGTGCAGGACTGCTCCATAATAGCTGGTGGCCACTCTCCTGGGAGGATACTCTGGAACTGGTATGGACACTGTGGGCTGCTGGGCCCTGCCACAGCTCTGCCTCCCAGCCTAGTGCCCAGGAAGGCTAGGTGCTCTCCACAGCCTCCTCACCCCAGACAGCAACACCGCCTTCCACCCGCGGGTAGGGAATAACACATTTGCAAAGAGGGATGAGAGGATCAGAAGGCCTGAAACACAGGGGAGAGCAGCTGCCAGTGAAAGCTGCTGCCACTCAGCTCGCTGTACTTAGGGCGATGTTTTCCTTTGTTGGCGAGGGTTGCCCATGGGTGGCCTTCCCTGGGGAGGAAGGAGACACACCCTCCGAGAGAGTGGGGGAGGCTCATGGTAGGTGGCAAGGTCTCCTTCACACTCAAGTCTGTGGTCTTCCATTAGTCTCCCACCTCTTTTTCTTTTGAGTCAGGGTCTAATTGTCACCCAGGCTGGAATGCAGTGGCATGATCATGGCATACCGCAGCCTCCACCTCCTGGATTCAGGATTCCACCTCAGCCTCCCAAGTAGCTAGTACTACAGGTACATGCCACCACACCCAGCTAATTTTTTAAATTTTTTATAGAGACGAGGTCTTGCTTTGTTGCCCAGGCTGTTCTCAAGCTCCTGGGCTCAAGTGAGCCTCCTGTTTTGACCTCCCAGAGTGCTAGGGTTACAGGTGTGAGCCTCTGCTCCTGGCCAGTCTCCCATCTCTTATCCTCCCTGTACCAGAAAAGAGGGGCCCGTATGTATCAAATCTTCCACAATTATCACCATTTCTGTGTCCTCAGTAGACAAAGCAATTTTAAAGGGACAGCAGCCATTCCTTTTTATTGTCTTCTTTTTTTTTTTTCTCCATACCTGCTAGGGCACTGACCAAGAAGTAGGCTGTGGCAAAGAGCTTCTGGTTGCTGACAGCATCCTCGGGGCCCGGACACCCACCATGAACCCTGCAGCCCACCAGCTGCAGGAAGGCTGTGAGGTCCTGCTGCTGCTGGGGCCTCAGCTCCCCAAGCACCGCCGATGGGGATAACAGGCCGCTGACCATGTCATCACACTGCAGGGCAGGGGAAAGAGAGGAGAGACGGTCATGACCTGGAGACCAAGCAGTACAGGTAGAGCCTGCCGCACACCACCACACAGGCCCCTGCCTGCCCACCCCTTCCAAGGAAAGCCAGACACCGAGCTCTTCTCTTGGTTTTAAAATAACCAAAACTTCCTCCCAAAGAGACAGTTAGCCAAGCCTTGCCTAAGTACTATTTGTTCACAGACAGCAGAGGAGGCACATGGAAACTGTTGGATAGAAACTTCCAGACCAGGGCAGGGCTTGTCAGGTCCCACCAGAGACCGGAAACAAGTGATTACATGTGCAACAGGGAAGGGGAACATAAAAGTATTGTCCCATCATGGTTCTCAAGCTTTTTTTTTTCTAAAGAGACTAGGTTTTTAAGAGATTGATCTTGTACTCCTGAACTCAAGCAATCCTCTCATCTCAGCCTCCCAAAGTGTTGGGATTACAGACATGAGTTCCTGCACCCAGCCATGGTTCTCAAGCTTTAAGCTTGGCACTCCAACCCCCCACCACATTCCCACAGGGTGCTGAGCAGTCTTATCCAGCCCCTGTGGGCCAGCGAGTTGTGACACCCAACCAATTAGACTCCCTCCATAGCCTCCATGTCCACACCTGCTCAAGCCTGCTCCCTCACCCACCCTCCCCTCTACAGGCAGCTTACTGCTCCAGCATCTGACAGGGCAGCTGATGCAGTCTCTGCAGGGTGCTGGCCTGACATTTTCCTCTTGGAAGGAGTTATTTTCTGAAGGAAAAGTCAATGGGCTTTTTGAAACACTGTGCTCTCTCTGGGGCCAAGTGCCACATTACATCGTCCAGAATGCAGAAGTGTCTAGGATGGGTGGACTATTTCAACAGGTTTCATCCCTGGGAACCAGGCTCTAATCCCAAGAGGAAAATACGACTGCTCCCTGGAAGCCCAAAGAGCATCAAATCAGTTATTCAAACTCCCTATGTAACAGAAAAACAAAGGACAAAAAACAATACTATAGTAGAAATTAGACTTGTGAAGCCTCAGCCTTCTGGGAAGGAGAACACAGCCTCTGTGTGGGACAGAGTGCCAGCAGTGGGTGTGTCCACTTGCACAACTAAGGGTTAAGGAACTTGGCCTCCCCAAGAAACCCTTCTGCTGCAAGACAGAAAAATGCAGAGGCCTATTTGTCTCTGTTCTAGGTAGGACAGGCTGACTTATTGGACTCTGCCACACAAGCCCCTTGAAGGGGGTTGAATAGTGGCCTCCCTCCCAAAATATATGTCTACCTGGAACCTCAGAATGTGACTTCAGTCTTTGCAAGGTAATTAAAGTAAGGATCTTGAGATCATCCCAGATTGGAATGGACCTTGAATTCAGTGGCAGTGTCCTTATAAGACACAGAAGGGATGATACAAAGGCGTGCACAGGGCAAGACAGTGTGAAGACAGAGGAGGCTAGGGTGACACTGCCACAAGCCAGGGAGTGCCAGGACTCACCAGATGCGAGGGGGGATGAGGCAGGGTTCTCCCCCCGGACCCTCCAGAGGGAGTAATAGCCGTGATTTTGGACTTCTGGCCTTTAGGACTATGAGAAAACACATTTCTGTTGCTTTAAGCCCCGGGTTTCTAGGAATGTGTTGAGGCAGCCCCAGAAACTAGCACATCCCTCTATTCCTTACATCAGCTACCTGTCTGCTATTAGAAAACTAAGGCCTGAGCTGGGCACGGTGGCTCAAGCCTGTAATCCCAGCACTTTGGGAGGCTGAGGTGGGAGAATAGCTTGCGAACAGGAGTTCGAAACCAGCCTGGGCAACATAGCAAGACCTCATCTCTATGAAAAATAAAAAATAAAAAATTAACCAGGCATAGTAGCATGAGCTTATAATCTCAGCTACTTGGGAGGCTGAGATGGAAGGATCACCTGAGCCCAGGAGGTCCAGGCTGTGGTAGCCATGATCACGCCACTACACTCTAACCTGGGCAACATAGTGAAACCCTGACTCAAAAAAGAAAAAAAGAAAACTAAGGACCAGAGAGTCAGAAAGAAAAGAGATAAGCTTTGGGGTTAGAAGGAGGTGGGGAAACCTTTAACACAATTCTATCCTGGTTCAAAGCCTTGTCCCAAGAGGTCTAGCCCATCTACGTTTCCAGAAAACCTGGGTGAAAACACTGCCTTGAAATGTCTCTGGTCTCACCACTAGTTCCAGGGCCATGAGTAATTCATCATCAAACAGGGCCGCCTGGAGGATGTCGCTCAAAGCTGTCTGCTGCTGCTCTGGCAGCTCCACGAAGGGGTGGAAGTTCCTCTCCAAGAGCAAGGACGCTGTGAAAACAGAGCATACCCGTCTCATGACTGCTGTGCGTGTCTCATGACACAGCCGGCACCTCCTGCTTTTCATAGCTAAGCGTCATCAGCTCTTTTATAGATATCTCCAGCTGCAAAGCCAGTCATGGAACTCGGAAGTAAACATCAAGTTAGACAGCACCCTGCATATTTTTCAATAAACAGTCAAACTACTGCCAGAAGGGAGAGAAGGAGGGAGGGAGGAAGGAGGGAGGGAGTTGAGGAGGAGGGAGGGAGGGACAGGAGAAAAGAGGGAGGGAAGGGGGAGAAGGAGGAAAAGAAGGGGGGAAGAAGGGAGGGAATGGGGAGGGAGGGAAGGAAGAAGGGAAGTGGACAAAGAGGTAGGGGGAGGGATAGAGGGAGGGAAGGAGAGAGGGAAGAGGGAAGGGGGGAAGGAGCGGAGGGGGAGAGGGCAAGAGGAAAGCCAAGTTTTGTATGACAGGCTTCACTTTTCTCCGATGACTCACTGAACATTAATTAAGGCTAATCAATTATTGTCTGGAAAAGTCATTTCGTGTCCTCTTTAGGATGACTTCTGCAAATTATCAAAGCTGAGTTACTAAACGTAAGTCAGTACTTCTACAATGTTTCAGAGTCACACAAATTCCAAAACGTAGTTTTTCATGTCCTCTCCTGTACTACTCTGCAGATTCTGTATCTTTTAATGTTTTAGGCCCGGGTTTTAAAGGGGCCGGCCTCCTCTTCTCCTGGCAAACACCACTTCTACTCTCTCCTTCCTGGCACATCCTCAACTGTCCTGAGTCTCATTAGATGGAGTCGCTCACACCTGCAGGGTGCATAGGACCCCCCCCCTCCCCGAGAATTCGCTTTCCTTTCTTTTCTTTCCCTTTTTTATTTTTAACATAGTCAAAAGCTCCCAATAAACTAAGCCCAGTAGAGATTTTCAACAAATATTTGATAAGGCAATGCTTTCATATGCATAAATGCACACTATACAATACATAAATGCACACAAATATGTAAGTGTATACTAACACATACATGCACATTAATATATAAATGCACGCTAATACGTTAGGTGCACACTGATACATAAATCCACACTGATGCATAAGTGAACAATATACATAAGCGCACACTAATATTTAAGTGTACACAAATATGTAAATGCACACTAATGCGTAGGTGCACACTAATACATAAACATACACTAGTATGTACGTGTACACTAACATGTAAATGCACCACCTGTGTGAATGGAGAACCCCAGCAAACAGCTATAGGAAGCCCCGTAGAGGGAAACATAGCCTCGTAACCACAGATTCAAAAACTCCCACACAGCTAGGTCTTCAGCTCCAGCCTGAAGAGATGAGCTGTCCTGGTGGGTATGGACTCTGAGGGTGCAAAGGCCAGAAGCTCCCACCCTATTCGTGCCTGGCACTCCTGGCTCCCTGATGTCCCTGACTGACCAGAACCTCCAACTTGTAGGGCGGGCCTGTGGTGTGGGGAAGGATGTGACAGGAAAGCTATTACACGGCACTGTCTCTTTACTTCCTTGTGGTGGCCACTGTGCTGTGGTTCTACCCACAATACCATTCGTTTTGGGTTTTTTGTTTGTTTGTTTTAAGTCAGAGTCTCACTCTGTCACTCAGCTGGAGTACAGTGGCATGATCCTAGCTCACGGTAGCCTCAACTTCCCACCCGCCTCAGCCTCCCCAGTAGCAGGGACTATAGGTGAACACCACCATGCTCAGCGAATTTTTTTTTTTTTTTGGTAGAGACAAGGTCTCGCTATGTTGTCCAGGCTGATTTCAAACACCTGGGCTCAAGTGATCCTCTCACCTCAGCCTCCCAACTCGGCCTCCTAACATGCAAGGATTACAAGCGTGAGCCACCATGCCCAGCTATGATAATGTCCTTGAAGTGGCAGCCAAAATCACACCGAATTATCCACCACAAGAAGCCAGGATGGGGCAGCCTTATGTTAGGATTGGGCCTCTGTTGTCATTTCTTTGGACACTGACATTTTTGCTACACAGACACAAGCATCTTCTGGTCGGGGACTCCTTGAGGCTCCATGGATGAGTCTCTCTTCCCACCCTCCCAGTCAGAGCTTATCTCGCTTTCTTCCATGCTCTTGTCCTAAGCTCTTACTTCCTTGTTTCTCTGTTTTCTTGCCTATCTCCTCCTTCTACTATAAACTGCATCCCCATGCCCTAGCACAAATAAACCGACTTTGTAAAACACAACATGCCGTGAGGGACAAGAGGAAAGAAAGCACATCCCGGGCACAGCTCTGCTTCCTCCTTGGCACCATGCAGCCTGTGCCATGTGGATCAGGAACTCCCAGGAGAGCATCCTGCAAGGCTGACAAAGCATCACTGGCCTTGGCAATGAAGCCCAGGAGTATAATGACACAGATGCGAAACTTGGGTTCTCCATCCTTGCTGTTGACAAGCTATTCTTAGTCAGCAGGGGGTTTCCATGGTTATAAGGAAAGTAAAAATGCCAGGTCCTGGAAGCTTCGCTCCTCAGTTTTCCACCCTGCCCCATGCAGGGGCTTTCTCCCCACCCTTCATCGAAACACAGCACCCACACTCTGGGGCTCCCTAAGATCCTACCAAGGTGACTCCTGCTGAGTGGACCAGGACTCCATAGCTCTACCCTTTCTCTTTTCACATGCCTTCTGTGAGTCTCTAAGGGGTCACGGATCCTGAGGCCACCTCCCCTCTTGGGATACAGGGCTCAACTAGTCTTCTACTGCCCGCCCACCCTGTTGGCAATACCTTGCTTTAAAACACGCAGCGGCGCATCCTGGGAGGATGTCCCTTGCCCGGCATCTGGCATGTCCACGAACACAAAATCTCGTAAGGCCATGGGGTCCAGGTAGACAGAGTCAAGTCTCTTCTCATGTTCGAAGCCACCATTCTTCCCTTGGAGAAGGCAGAATTCTGTAGCACAGGAGAAAAGGACAAGCCAGACACAGGGTCAGCCAGGCCATGCTGGTACAACTTAGACCAGACTTCATCTGACTCAGGATGGAGCAGAAGACACATTTACCTTCTTTCCCATAAAATCCAATTCCCACACACATGTGCTCCTTGGCCAAAAACCCAGCCACTTCCTAAAAAGACAGGAGAAATGGGTTTTCTTAACATAAAATCTCTCTAGTGTGTACTCTCTGGACAAAAAGGATACAATCTTTAAAATACTGGAAATATTTTCTTATCCTGATTCGAACAAACCAACTCTAAACAGACAAATGAAACCCACCCTGTATAAAACACTGGGAAAATCTGAACACTGATAATATCAAAGAACGATTGTCAATATATTTGGGTGTGCAAGTAGTTACATGGTTATGTTTTTAAGTGCCTTAACTTTTATTTGTTAATAAATAGAATACACAGAAAAAAAAAGAAGTACTGATGTCTGCAATTATATAAAGAAATATCACAAGTATTTTGTTGAGTGAAAAAAGCCAGACACAAAAAGAGTACGTTCTATGTGAATCCATTTACATGAAGGCAAAACTAGTCTTTAAAAAAAAAAAGAAGCCTTATCATTGAAAGGTACTGAAATACTGATAAATGAAATAATATAATGCCTTAGGTTTGCTTCAAAATTATCCAGTGGGAGAGGAAGGAGGTGGGTAAGTTATTGATGGAACATAAAGTGCCTTCATTATTGAAAGCTGGATGCTGGGTACACGGGGGTTCACTATATTATTTTCTCTACGTTTAAACATGTGAAAATTTCCATAATAAAAAGTTTTTGTTTGAATTACAAAAAGAGAAATGTTTCCTCAAACACTTCCATATTTTTTCCCCATATTTTCATTTATTTATTTATTGAGTCACAACTAACACACTACAGCCTCAATTTCCTGGGTTTCACCATGCATGGCTAATTTTTGTAGAGACCAGGTCTTGCTATGCTGTCCAGGCTGGTCTCAAACTCCTGGGTTCAAGCAATTCTCTTGCCTCGGCCTCCCAAAATGCTAGGGTTACAGGCATGAGCCATTGTGCCTGTCAAATACTTCCATATTTGAGAACCCAGCTAAGATATCTAAATTGTGGGTAAAAATGAAACTAACCATTATGATGTCCTTGTTAAGCAGATAACAGCAAGTGAATGCAAGAATTTTTGTTTCTATTTAATGATTTGTGTACTTAAGCAACGACTACAGAATAAAAACATGACTGAGCCTAGTATTTGCATGAAATGTGGAAGGCAGGGGTATCAGCATATATTTTCACTGCTTGTGGGTACCCATGATGCTTGTAAAGATAGGATGGCTATCTACAGACAAATGGAACAGCCCTTGGTTTACTCAACCAACCATGTTCACTGGTGTCTAGGGGTCCCCACCCCTCCACCCTTAGAACTTATGTGCTGAGAACCAGCACATGGTCACGACTTTGCTCTCTGTGGACAGGGGCCACTACCACTCATACAGGGACCAACTGGCATTTTAGGGGTCCACAGCACCCCCAACGCTCTCACCTTCACCCACACACGGCCCCTGAAGGCGCTGCCAGTTCCTTCATTCTTTCTCATCATCCCTTCCCATGCATCCAGCAAATACGCAATGACCCCTGCTCTGCCAGGCCCTGCACCAACGGCCATACACACAAAAGGACCACAACCAGGCCTTAACAATAAGAGTAAAGACAGCATCAACCCAGGCTGAAGCCACAGTGGCAGACGGATGTTGTGGAAGGGAGAGCTCTCTCCTTCTACCCATTCTAGGCTGAGGCCTGATAACAATGAACACTGTTGTCATTAACAAGAGAAAAGCATGCAAATTTATTTAGTATCAGTTTTACATGACACGGCAGTCTTCAGAAGAAAATAAAGACCCAAAGAAACAGTGAAATCTGAATATTTTCATGCCAGGTTTAAGGAGTGGTTTGATGGAAAATAAGTTGGGCGTGGTGGCAAGTGCCTGTAGTCCTAACTACTTAAGAGGCTAAGGCAAAAAGATTGCCTGAGCCTAGGAAGTCGAGTCTGAGGTGAGCCACGATGGTGCCATTGCACTCCAGCCTGGGCAACAGTGAGACCCCAGCTCAAAACCAAAAAAAAAGTCTGAGGCAGACCTGGGCTTGCTGGCCCATGCTTATAGTTCCAGTTACTTGGGAGACTGAGGTGGAAGGATCCCTTGAGAGCCAGGAGTTCGAGGCTGCTGTGGGGAAGTATGACAGGACAAGGAATGTGGCCACATGGTAATTAGCTGGGTACCTTAGCAGGCCGGCTTGTGCAGCTTCTATGTTCCTATGCCTTCAGAGACAAAGCTCCCGGGTATGAGGGCACCTCTCACCTGAGAGTCTGTGACCTGCTTCAGAAGAAGGTTAAAAAATCCTGGTCAGACACAGTGGCTCACACTTGTAATTCCAGCACTTTGGGAGGCCAAGGCAGGAGAATGGCTTGAGCCCAGGAGTTTGAGACCAATCTGGCCAACATAGCGAGACTTCCTCTCTACAAAACAATTTAAAAATGAGCTGGACATGGTGGCATGCTCCCGTAGTCCCAGCTACTCGGGAGGCTGAGGGAGAAGGATCGCCCGAGCCCAGGAGGTCAAGGCTGCACTCCAACCTGAGCGACAGAGTGAGTCAAAGAAAAAAAGAAAAAGGAAAAATAAAAGAAAATCTTTCTTCCTGCTTTGAGGAGACGGGTAAGGGAAAGGTCACAGTGACCTTCCTGCTTCTGCCATTTTCTCATCTTTCATGTTAAGATATTTCCAGGTCACGTGTCCTAAATGCCATCACAGGGAAAGAGAACCCAAAAAGGTTTCTTGGGCGAAGAAGCATCCAAGCAGCCTCCTAAGGGTTCAGTGAGAGCCAAAGAGGCAGGGCACGTGCTCCAGAGGAAGGCAGCGTGGGCACAGGGCTCAGGAACAAGAGAAGGACCAGCATGAGCCTGAAGGTGGGTTGACTTTGGCAAGATCATTGGGCTGGGGGCACCACACAAGGGCCAGCCCACAATGAACTTAAGGTGCAGGCTTTGTTCTTGGGACACAGGGAGCCACAGAAGAGTGCTGGAGCAGGAGAGTGAAATGATCTGATTTTTTTTTTTTTAAATAGTCACATTAGCTATACTGCTAGGATGGAACAGACAGCAAAGAGTCTGAGGCAGACCTGGGCGTGGTGACTGACGCCTGCAATCCCAGCACTTTGGGAGACTGAGGCAAGAGGATTGCTTGAGCTCAGGAGTTTAAGACCAGTCTAGGCAACATAGAGAGACCTAATCTCTACAAAAAATTAAAAAAAAAAAATAAATTAGGCGTGGTGGCATGTGCCTGTAGTCCTAACTACTTGAGAGGCTAAGGCAGAGGATGTCGAGGCTGAGGTAAGCCATGACAGTGCCACTGTACTGCAGCCTGGGTGACAGTGAGACCCCCATCTCAAAAAAAAAAAAAAGTCTGGGGCAAACCTGAGCATGGAGGCAAATGCCTGTAGTTTCAACTACTTGGGAGACTGAGGCAGGAGGATCCCTTGAGAACCAGGAGCTCAAGGCTGCAGTAAGGGCAACAGAGCCAGACCTCATCACTAAGGGATGCCAGCGGGAGATGGTGTTGGAGGCATTGGGCCTGCGGAGACGGGGGCAGTGTGGGAAACACAGGTGCTCACCCAGGTATCCAACTGGAAACTCATGCTGAAAAGACACTGGCAAATCCCAAGTTAAACAAAAGTGCAAGGCTAAAGTTCAAGTTGTACAAAAGGGTGTTTCTGATCAGCCATGAGTGTCTCCAGAGAGGAGGGCTGGGGAGTGAAGGGGTAAGTCACCTCAGCTGATGGGGCTGGACTTCTCAAGACAACCAGGATCTCTGTCAAATGCGGCCCCACCAGGAAGGTAGGAGGAGAGGGCAGCAGCTTCTCAAAGGCCCTTCCAGCCCCTGCAGGTTTATGTTTATGAAGCTGCATCAGAATATTCTGTGGCAAGAGCGACAGAAAACAGGTGGGCAAAAAAAGAAAGGAAATGCAGAACTGGTTTAAAACCAGGCAATGAGTCACCCAGAATGACGGCTGGACTGCCAAGTTGCAGAGGCATTGCCCTCGGCAGTGGGAAAGGGCCGTGGGCAACCTCCTAGGCCAGGTGAGGGAAGGGGGCCAAAGAAAGGGCCAAGACATCCCCAGGGAACTTCTTCTCAGCAGCACAAAGAGGAATTTATTTTAAAGACAGTAGAAACAAGCAAAGATAAAAAGCTTGAAACTGAAATGCAAGCAGGAGCACAGGGGGGTGCCAGACCAGGCTGTGTTTGTCAAATCCCCATGGGGGTGGGAAGAGGTTACCCAGAAACAGTGGGCCACTCCAACAGAGCTGTGTGCAGGACAGAGCCTGGTCACCTCCTGGGACAAACAGGAAGAAGCTCACATGGAGACTACCACCTAGAGTGGCAGCCAGGGCCTGAGCCCTGCCACTGATGGTCCTCAGAGCTCTTATGGGATGCATGCCAAGATTTCAAAGGCCAGCCGGACTTGGTGGCTCAGCCTGTAATCCTGCGCCTTTGGGAGGCTGAGGTGAGTGGATTGCCTGAGCCTGCGGGTTCCGAGACCCGCCTGGGCAGCGAGACATCATCTCTACAATAAATCAAAAAATCAGCCAGGCATGGTAGCGCACGCCTGTAGTTCCAGCTGCTCGGAAGGCTGGGGTGGAAGGATCACCAGAGCCCAGCAGGTCGAGGCTGCAGTGGCCGGAAGC